AAGCATTCCAATATTCCTGCCACCCCAAGCTAGTGACTGGATGACGTTGGGGGAAGTGTCAGGCTAAAAGACATACAATCCCAGGATCTATAATTAAACTATTGGGGGAAAATTTTTTATTCCCTCCTGGGATGGGTAAGCAAATATGATATAAACTTGGAGCTCTTGGTGGCTACCTTGCCACTTTTGGGGAAGAACTTAGCTGACAAGGAAACATTATCAAGAAATCACCATCTAGGCTGGAGATACAGCTCACCCTGCTTGCACAAAGCCCTGGGTTCAATCCCTAGCACCATAAAAAAATAAAAATAAAAAATTTTTAAAAATCACATTCTGGCCAGGGCGCAATAGTGCATGCCTATAATCACATCAACTCAGGAGACTGGGGCAAGAGGAAGGCAAGGACTAGACTAGCCTGGACAATACACAGTCAAGAAAATAGCTAGGGCTGTAGCTCACTGAGAGTGCCCCTGTGCTCAATCTTCAGTACTGCAACCCACTCACCCCTGGAAAAAGAAAAAAAAAAAAAAAACCCAATATATTGTGAGGCTGGAGATGTGGCTCAGTAGTGGAATGCTTGCCTAGCGTGAGGCCCTGGGTTCAATCCCCAGCATCGCCTCACTCCCCTCAAATAATCACTTTCTAAGGGCATCATTTAAACTTCTGGATCCAACCAAACCTGAAGGCTTATTGGACTTTCCTGTTACAAAAAGTAACAGAAACAAGTTTGGTTACCTGATAACTGCAACTGAAATAATTTAATTTACTAATCCTCGTATCTACCAGAAACATCTAGAGATTTGGTCTTTTCATATCTGCCTCCTATAGAGTCCCTAGAAAAAATAATCATATGATGGCAGGATATTGGTTAGTCTCTTGTCCTCCAGATCTGTAACTGCATCTCTGCTGCTTTGTGACCCTAAAGCCCTCATATCCTCTCTCTGAACCTCTATTTCCTGAGTAACTTGTTCTCTATTGGCTCTCCCAGGAGTCTTGAGTCTTTGAGGAAATGCCACTGGCTCCAGGGCAATCCTGTGTCCTTTTCCTTGGTCATGTTCTTCTGGGGCCAAGGCATAAAGCTGGCTAGTGTGTCCACTAGAKAGTGATTTTCAACCTGGACTATGCAGACAGCTGGTGGTAGATAGAGGAGATGCTAAAACCACAGGATAAAACAACACAGCTTTCTGGGAGCAGTTTTGTCCAATGGAAAAGGCATTTTCAGTATTAAAATGTAGTTGTTGGGGGCTTGAGTTGTGGCTCAGTGGTCGAAGTGTTCGATTTTCAGCACCGTATATAAATAAATAAAATAAAGGTATATCAACTAAAAATATATTTTAAAAAATGTAGTTATTAGGCTGGGGTTGTGGTTCAGTGGTAAAGCACTTGCCTAGCATGTGTGAGGCACTGGGTTCAATCCTCAGCACTACATAAAAACTAAATGAATAAAACAAAGATATTATGTCCATCTACAACTAAAAATATTTCTTAAAACTCTAGTTATTAAGAACATCTTATCTGGAGCCAGATTTATATGGAGTCAAATCGCAGCCTCACCACCTATTGACTGTACAACTTTAGGAAGTTACTTAACTTCCCTATGCCTGTTTTCTCAAAATAAAGTGAGGATAGAGTTATTATCTACACTGTTTGCAATTATGACGAGGATCAAGTTAGTCTGTTTAAAGTGTATAGAACAGTACCTGGTGCCTAATAAGTGCTACTTAAATATTAGTTATTATCAAATCATGTATTATATATGAAGGCTTTGGATAATGTTACCTGCAGTTCTAGCCCAGACTGTCAGGGATTTGCTCTCACTTTCTCATGCCAGTAAGAATACTTACATCTCATTCTTTTTTTTTTTTTTTAAATATTTTATTTTTCAGTTCTCGGCGGACACAACATCTTTGTTGGTATGTGGTGCTGAGGATCAAACCTGGGCCGCACGCATACTAGGCGAGCGCGCTACCTCTTGAGCCACATCCCCAGCCCACATCTCATTTTCAATATAGAAACCTACAAGAAATTCAAGATGTCTTCATGTTCTTTCAAATTCTTGGGTCATCATTCTCACTCCATGCATACTTTAGTCCTCCCATATAACCTTCCACTTCAGGGCCAACTACTCACCGGTGCTCACCTAAATATCCCCTTATGAAAACAATAAACCATAGGGTTTTGATAGCTAACGTACTTGCAAGTGTGGAGGTAATGAAGATAAAGCATGAACAAAGGTGCAAGGTAGGCTATGTTCCAGGAATGAGTTCATCTTCCCTTAAAAAAACTGAAGATGAGGTTGAAAAAGTAGGTTCAGTTCAGATCACTTGAGGATCTTGAATGCTATATAGGTAGTAAGGAACTTATTTTTAATAATGTAGTAATAACTACATTATTAAAWATATATATTTCTAAAAACTACATTTTAAAAAATATATATTTTTAGTTGTTGATATACCTTTATTTTATTTATTTATATACGGTGCTGAAAATTGAACCCTGTACCTCATTCCAAACAGACGYACTTTATAATCTGTTTCATCTGGAAGATTCTGATAATTCCTCTTCATTGTTGTGAGAACTACTGATGGAGATAAGTACATGGGAGAGAAATCCTGTATGAGAAACAGTGACCCATCAGGAGGTGGAGAGGATTTTTTTAAACATCTGTTTATTTATTTATCTATCTATCTTTAGAGGAAACCATCCCACTTCTAAGGATGGCCTGAAATTCAGTCTCACATTGGTATTTTATTCTCCTGCAAGGCACATCTTAACCACCAGAGAGCGCCCAATACAAAGAAATCAGAGCACTCAGTTCATAGAGCACGGGAAATTAAGCTGGACATCTTTGGGCAGGATATGAGAATCTTGGAACTCCTTAATGGTAGGGGTGAGGCATGCTGCACTACCTAGAGTTTGGTCATATAAGATAAGGGGGGCTGGGGTTGTGGCTCAGCAGTAGAGCGCTCGCCTAGCACGTGTGAGGCCCTGGGTTCAATCCTCAGCACCACATAAAAATAAATATTGTCTCCCACTACAACTAAAAATAAATAAATAAATCTCTGGAGGACTAGGGATGTATCTTAGTGGTACAGTGCTTGCCTGACATGCATGAGGCCCTGCGTTCAACCCCTAGCAACACACACACACACACACACACACACAAATGGTTCAGTAAGACTAATCAACCATTCTTAAAGAAGAAGAAAAAAAAACAATCTAGGAAGGCGGAAGAGTAGGGAAAGGAACCAGGTTATTTGGGAGCTTGCCTCCATCAACATCAAGATCCATCAACTCTGCCTCCAAGCCACTAGATCAAATTTCTTGCAATACTGTCAGGCCAGCTAGTTTAGCTAGACCTGGGAAACTAGATGGGACTGCAGTGTGAGGGAAGGGGAAGAGTGAGGGTCATCTCTTGAGTCTTTGGAGTGGTATCTACATGGCATCAGACCTTAGCCTCTAGGTCCATCAGAAAAGATGATGTGATCTAGTTCCTTCAGCATATTTTCAAATCCTTTTTTACCTTGTCTTTCCACTTATCTGCATAAAGACAAGAAGGGACTTTTTTTTCTATTATAAATGTCAAAATACAGGAGCTGGGGATGTGGCTCAAGCGGTAGCGCGCTYGCCTGGCATGCGTGCGGCCCTGGTTCGATCCTCCAGCACCACATACAAAAAAACAAAGATGTTGTGTCCGCCAATAACTAATAAATAAATAAATATTTTWAAAAAATGTCAAAATACAGGCCTAAAGAAATGTGAACAATTTACCTAAGATCACAGCACAGTTGGGTCTGTGTTCAAGAACAACAGCTTGAGGGGGCCCAAGTAAGGAAAGGTAGGCAAAACAGCCTTCAGAGTGGTAAGCACTCGCTCCTGGCCAGGCCTCATACAGGCCCCTTCTAAGTTCAACTCTGCTTCTAGACCCCAGACTGCCGGCCCCACCTCCACACTTCCACCACCCCCTGAGAGCCCATCACCCTGGCAACAGCCAGAGAAAGGTCTTTCTAAAATATTTCTGGCTCAGAACAGTCCAGAGGCTAGGGGAAGGTTGATGTCATCCTTCTCCACTTGCAGAGGTGACCGACATGTAGGGTCACCAATTCAGAGTACTTAAAGGAAGATCCCTAGGAACTAAATGGGAGGAGGGTAGAGGGTGTGTGCTACAGGTGACAGGACTGCCAAGACCTATTGGGCAGGAATAGAGCAGGAAGGATGTGTTGCAGTGTTATGTTTAGACCCCAAGCTAAGCATTTCACACACACTTCATTTGCTTCTCAGACCTCCTTCAGTAGAAAGGGATTGTTATCCTACTTTTAAGGAGTAAACAGGCCTGAAAAATACAGGGATTTGGGGTCTAGATCTGTTTTGCCCTGTAAGCTTTCCAGTAAAACTTGGTGTCCTTCAAATAAAAATCCTACACCTAAGGGTGGAGGGGTATGCCTGCAGAGGGGCCTCACCTAATGCGGACTCCTCAATGACCCACTATCTGTAACTAAGATGCCATCTGGCTCCCTCCCCACTGCAACTCCTCCCTAGTCTGGTGAACTGAAAGGACTATGGCCACAAAGTAAGGCCTAGAGACTAAGAAGCCAAGGAAAGTACAGCCTCAGCGGCCAGATGACAAATTTTTTCATCTAGGACTTTTCTAGTTTTAGCTCTGAAAGTCCCGTATCTCAGAAACCTGACAGTTTCAAAGCACTTGTAGCTGTCTGATGAAGTGTTTTCTAACCTTAGCCAAGTTATTTATTCTTTTAAAGCCTCAATTCCCTCATGTGTAAAATAAACATAATGGATTGGAGGATTAAATGAAACAGTGCATACAAATGCTTGACATAGCTGGGCATGGTGGTATTCACCTGTAATACCAGCAACTTGGGAGGCTGAGTCAGGAGGATCACAAATTCCAGGCCAACCTCAGCAACTCAGTAAGGACGTAAGCAATTTAGTAAAAACTTTTTTCAAAATAAAAAAAAAAGGCTGGGGATGTGCCTCAGTCGTAAATTACCCCTGGATTAAATCTTTGGTACCCCCAAAAGGTATAATTAGCTACTATTTATAGTAATCAACAATGAAGACAAGCAGGTTCAGATGTTCAACAGCTTGTCCAATGTAAATCAACTGACTTCAAGGTCCCTTTCCACTACACCTCCTAAGAATGACTCCAAGCTCATTAAAATATCCTCAGACATAGTTAAAATGCAGACAGTCTTCCTCCTTAAACCCAGTCCTAGCTCTTGGTTCCTTTGTTAGGATAAATAACCTGAAGGTCTTAGGGAAGAGTGCAGCACTAGAGGTCCCTAATCTCTCAAGAAGCTCTGTAAATCTCAGCTAGGCATAGGACCCAGGAAATCAGAAGCCTTTCAAAAGCTGACTTCCTAATCCTTCAAGAGAAAATGTTAAGGCAAATCATTTGGCCCAGAATAGCTCTAGAAGGGGGGCTTAGGCCCTTTCCCAAAGCTAAGAGAAGCTACCAGAGTGGGACCATTTATCACTTGACCAAACCTTTATTGAGCTCCTCAGGGGCAAATACTGGTTGGAAAATAGAATACAGATGTAAAGTAGAAAAGCCCTACCTTTCAAGACCTTTTTTGAACAAGTAATCAACAATAAGAGAAAAACAGGCTCAGCAAGTAATGAACCCAAAGTAAATGAACCTCTGCATTTGGTTTTCCCCTAGCCCATTACTGAGGAGATGAGGATTACTCTCTGGAAGTATCCAAGGGCTCTGATGCTGACAGCCACCAAAGAATTTCTGTATGGTGTGAGGAATAGGAAGTGAAAGTAGGGTGTTCCAGTCGGTTCTGTGACAGATTAAGGGGAAGCAGACTGGGAATGGTATAGTGGGAGGTGCCAGTCTACTGATCTGGAGGGCCATGCTAGGGACATTGTTAGTTCCACTCTTTTTAAAGTCTTGAGCAGGTAGAACTGTTAATATCACAGTCCCCTACTGCCCTGAGGATTCCATTCTGAGTCTAAGGACTCTTAAAGGATGATCCTGGCTGGTTTTCTGTGGTTAATTCAGACAGATCAAGAGGCGGGGTGAGACAGAACTGTTGATCTCCTCTCCATGGTTTCTCTGTGCTCAGCAAATGCCCCAGGCCAGCCTTTAAACAACAGGTAGTTCTCTCCTGGTTACTGGAGTTCTCTGATAGCTGCAAAGAAACAAAGTGGAAATTAAGAAACATGATGCTGCCTTATCAAGGGGTTTCCCAGCCTCCCATCTGGCTAGACCGCCTTCCTTCAGTCCCCCCATCCCATAGTACAACTCTAGGTGTTTCCTTCAGTACACAGATTTCTAGGTATGCAGATGAGTGGAAAAACAGCAATCCATAGCCTATTAGCTGTCTCTTTACTCTTAGGTAATAAAAATGGAGTCCCACACTCTATACCTCCCATCCTTGGCCATGCCTGAGTAGAGTGACCCAGGAAGGCTTTAACTATAGGAGAGACACATCCTAAGCCTGAGGCACAGGAAAGGGGTCTCTGATCTCATACTAAAGCCTATAGCAGTGCTTCTCCTTTTTAAAAAGACATTTACCGCCCCCCCCCMCCCAAGTCAGTAACCCGGAACCTTAATTTTCAATATTATCCTATTACAAGACTTCCTCCCAACCCTCCAGTGCTGAGATTGAACCCAGGACCTGGCACATAAATACTGGGGACTGAACTCAGGGCACCACCGAGTTACACCTCCAGTCCTACCTACAGGCCTTTCTCATTTTATTGCCCTCACCTAATAAGGTTTTCTATAGAGATGTATTATCAGCAAGTGAAGTTTAAAATCAGAAATCTGAGCCGGAGGTATGGCTCAGCAGTAAAGCACTGGCTTACCTTATTGGCGACCCTAGATTTGATCGTCAGCATCCCAAATATAATTATTAATGATAATAAAATCAAAACAGAAATCTAGAGTTGGGGATAGCTCAGGTGGTAGAGTGCTTGCCTTGCATGCACAAAGCCTTGGGTTCAATCCCTAGCACCACAAAAACCAACCAACCAACCAACCAACCAAAACCCAGAAATCTAATGTTATTCTCCACCAGTCACTAATTTAATGGTCTTCAGTGATCCCCTCAGAATAGGGTCTAGTTTTCTACTTCACCTTAAACCTGCTGCAGTTTACCCTCTGCTTAGATAATGTGCTCCATGTCCTTTCCCCAAACCATCTCCCAAGCCCTCTGCCTAGCTAAGCCTTCCTTTTGTATCAGTTTAAACACTATTTGCACAAGGAAAACCCTAGTTAAGTTGTATACCCTCAAAGCATCCTATCCCTTTCTTTTTAGAACTTGTCATAATCAAAATTAGCTATGTAACTAATAAGTTATCTGTTTAGCGTCTGTCTCCCCAAATATTCTGTTAAGCCAGGACCATTTTATGATGTTTACGCTCCACCAAATCTCCAGAGCCTAGCACACAGTAGGTGTAATAGTCAATATATTTTAAAAAATAAATAGGACTGGGGATATGGCTCAAGCGATAACACGCTCGCCTGGCATGCTCGAGGTGCTGGGTTTGATCCTCAGCACCACATTTAAAAAATAAGTAAATAAAGATGTTGTGTCCACCAAAAACTAAAAAATAAATATTAAAAAAATAATAAAATAAATAAATTTTGTACTGATTTCTGGAGACAAGTTTATGAAGAATTCTATCAGAACACAAGGTATTTCTTTTTCCTTTCTTTTGGCTGTGCTAGGTCTATCACTGAGCTATACCCTCAGGCTTTCTTTCTTTTTCAAAGGCAGATGAAGAATTTGTTTCCCACATTCCAACACAAAAAGCTGAGATGGGGAGCACCCACCYCTAAAGCTGCTGGAGTCATAAGACACCAGAGAAGAATTACCCTGAGTCAATTTGTTCCCAAACTCTTCTATCTCAATTTCTTATCCAATACCGTGCATGGTACCTGGTGGAAAGTGATTGGCTGCCCTGAACTAGACCAAGCCAGGCTCCAGAGGCAGACAAGGGAAAAGCCCTTCTTCACATCTTAATGCAGTATTAAGATCAGAAATGGTAGCCAAATTTCTGGACATGTGTGCTATTTAGCTGATTAATTTGGGCTGATACCCTGGTTAGGCCTCACCAGAAACATCAAGTTCTTTTTTTTTTCCCCAGGAGTCCAACTGCCCCTCCAAAGCCTCCTTGAAGCATGAATCTGCCTATATCTAGGTGGGGGAGGCACAGGGCTAGCCTGTGCCCCTGCCGGAAATGCACCCACAACCAATCAGCACAGTATGGGAATGTGGACACTCACTGCTCAGCAGATCTAGCATCTTTGGTCAAGGAGTGCTGAGAAACTGAGGATCAATCACATGCCTATGAAATTCAATTCTTTTCCAGATACAAGTCTCCTTTCAGAGGAGAGATGGTTAGGTGAATACTAAATGAGAATGTTCACTCGGCACCAAAGTCCCAGAACAAATGATAAGAGCAGAGGACTCCAGCTCAGGGGCTGGAAAATTGATTCCAGGTGTCAGTGAACATTTCTGCTCTGTATTCCCCCAACAAAAGGATTTAATCTGTAGCTTGAGTGTAGCCTTCTTTAGAGCTCAGGGCAGCAATCAGGCCAAAGTAAGACTACAGTGCAATGCCCACCATAAGGCCTTTATTTCTAAGGGCCTTAGAAGAGACAGGCCTATTTCCTAGGCCAGGAAATAAAAGAGCGGGTAGTTAGGCAGTTTGGTGTACTTTTTCCCCTCCCCCTAACAGCTGCTATCTCAGACAGTGGTTTCCAGTCTGTCTGTTCAATGCTATTAAATATTCATCAAATGTATGCTAGCTTTAAACATGCAATGACTATTAATCTGAAGAACAGGAGGTACGTGTGGATCTACAAAGACAGAAGGGGAAGACTCACAAGGCTTAAAATAGAGGCAGAGACCTCATCCATTCATGACTTGAAGAGAACGGTAATGTACCAAAGCTTTCTTCTATCAGTGGGTCAGATAGAAGATACCTGAATATTGGTATCTGATTCACAAGTTGAGTGAAAGGTATAGGATGTGAGGAGACTCCATTAACAAATGGCAAAACCCTAATATCTCGTCCTCAAATGGCCCAATACCTGGATGGAGAGAGGATTCTGTCTTGAGAAAGGCAGGAACCAAAGACCTACAGGCAAGAGGGAGGCAGGAGGAAGTCAAGGGAGWTGATCCCCTTTACCCTACCACAAAGGAATGATGCCATTAAAGTGGCAGAAAGCTTCTCTTTTACTTCTATTTCCTACCTTGCTGGCACAATGACAAACAGAGATGTGGTTCAAACCCCTCCTTGTATTTCTTAAGGCGTTAAACAGTTCCCTAAACTTCAGCTTTACAAAAGCAACACTGGGGTTGTGGCTCAGCAGCAGAGCGCTCACTTAGTACGAGCAAGGTCCTGGATTTGATCCTCAGCACCACATAAAAATAAATAAATAAAATAAAGGTATATTAAAAAAAAATACTAACCTATTTTTCTAGCCTATACACATAGCTAGTATTTATTACATGCTTACTACATGTTATGCTAAATGTTAGTTGCATTAGCTCATTCAGTCTTTACAACTGTACTGTTTCGTAAATGGTATCTATATTTTATAGATAATAAAACAGATACTTAGGGAGGCTAACACACATAAGATCCTCAAAACTAGCTTTGGAGGAGGTAGAATTTAAAATTTGTCTATTTAAAGCCATAATAAAATGGTATGGTATTTGTTTCAGTGTGGCAAATTCTTAATTATCAGGGCTGAGGATATRACTCAGTTGGTAGAGTGCTTGCCTTGCATGCACAAGGCCCTGAGTTCAATCCTCAGCACCACAAAAAAAAATCTTAATTATCCTTTAAGACGGAACGTAAATGTTATTCTTTTTCTTTCCTTTTTTGGTACTTAGGATTGAATATAGAGGCRCTTTACCACAGAGCCACATCCCCGCCCTTTCAGAGACAGGGTTTCACTAAGCTGCTAAGGTTGGCTTTGAATGTGCAATCCTCCTGCCTCAGCCTCCTGAGCTGCTGGGATTACAGGTGTGCACTACTGCACTTGGCTGTCACCTTCTTTCTCTGGCATTCCCTAAGCCTGACTCCTACAGGTCTCTGGTATTCAGTGCAGCAGCAGAACACCATCATCTACTACTGTAACAATGGAGAATTTTCTCCCATTAAACTGTTTCTTGAGGATAAGGACTACAAATTGGATGCAGAAATGTGACTCAGCATAGCCAGCATAAGGCCTAAGTGGTCTCAGCAAATGTTCACTGTAATAATATTCCTGCATAGGAAGTCTTCTTCCAGGACACAGAATGACTAAAAATGTTCCCTAAGACGGTTCTGGCTTGGCAGTTGGAACTTCTAAATTCCATTACATGGTTGAAATTGATCACAGAACCCAAAATCAGACTGCCTGTAAATGAATCTCAGTTCTGCTATATAACAGCTGTACGGTCTTTGATAATTAACTTTTTTAGACCTCAGTTTCATTATGTATAAAAAATAGAATAATATCTACTTCACTGGTAGAGAAAATAAATAAACATTAGAATTGACTAAATGTAATAGTAACTAAGACTTTTTTTTCCAGGATGCATCTCACATTTGCTGTGAAAATAAATCATGTTAGTTTAATTGGAAGTGTTTTTCCTTTGCAGCACTTAATGATTCATCTCAAAACAAATATCCTTTACAGTTAATGAAATAAGGTATTATTTTATAGAAGCAGCATGCTTTCAGAACAGAGAATGAACTCTGGTATACGGAGAATGGTATACAGTAATATTAATATGCTCCTCTCCCAATTTGCTATGCAACCAATGTAAATTACTGAATCTCTCCTAGAATCATCTGCCTCACTTGTAAAAGGGACACACACAATAGGCAATCAAACCAAGTTCTCTTTTCCCTTAGCCAGGTAAAGTTACCTATTTTCCCTTTCTTACATTCCCCTTCTTTTAAATGAGGTAAAGGGCTGGGGATGTGGCTCAAGCGGTAGCGCGCTCGCCTGGCATGCGTGTGGCCCGGGTTCGATCCTCAGCACCACATACCAACAAAGATGTTGTGTCTGCCGAGAACTAAAAAATAAATATTAAAAATTCTCTCTCTCTCTCTCTCTCTCTCTCTCTCCTCTCACTCTATCTTTAAAAAATAAATAAATAAATAAATAAATGAGGTAAAGATC